CTTCTCAGGTCTTTGATGTGGTTAAAGACTAGATAGTTGTAATTTCCTCAGTTATGATAAAAGATAAGTTAGATATAAAACCTTAACCTCACAAATATAAGATAGATAGGACATCTTTAATATTGTAACTATAATTCTTGCTCGGTAATTGTTTTGTTATATGTAATTTTACCATGATAAAGTTAAAACCTTCCTTTTTAAAAAAAGAAAAAAAAGGGGGAAGTGCTGTGGATATTGCTCTATATAAATAAAACACTGATGGCCAGTGACCAGACAGGAAGTAGGTGGGACAAGAGGAGAGGAGAATTCTGGGAAGCGGAAGGCTGAGGGGGGAGACACTGCAGCCACCGCCAGGACAAGCAGCATGTAAAAACTCTGGTAAGCCACCAGCCACGTGGCAAGGTATAGATTTATAAAAATGGGTTAATTTAAGATAAAAGAACAGTTAACAAGAAGCCTGTCACTTCCATACAGTTTATAAGTGATATAAGCGTCTGAGTGATTATTTTATAAGTGGATTGTGGGACTGTGGGGCTTGGGGAACCTGGAGAGAAGCCCTCCAGCAACAAGTAGCTTTATAAAGGCTACATATTTAAAATGATTAGCAAGTAAAATATCGAAGATATCTGGGCTATAATAACAAAGAGGTGCCAATGGATTGAATTGATTTCCAATTAATGTATGATCAAGGAGATCAGCTGCCACAATGAAGTAAAGTTACTAGAAAAGTGATTGTACTATCTGGCTTTACCACTTTTAGCTATGAAGATGAGGCAGGATGACAAGAAAAGCAACAAAAACCACAAGAACAAAAATTACATACTATGAATATTTTCTAGAGGTATATCAATAAATATATATACACTGATTGGTTTTCAGTTCATGTTGGAATCTCACAATAGTCTTTTCTAACACCATTGAAGGACTCTGGAATTTTATTTTGATTATTATATAGTATAAGCCTGTTTGTTTTTTAATGAAAGGTGAAAATAAGGTGGATCCAGATGGGAGGGGATGTAGGGAGGACCTGAAAAGAGTAGAGGTAGGGTAAACCATGATCAGGATGTATTTAGTGAAAACAAAATTTTTTAATAAAGGAAAAGCTCTTAGCCGGGCGGTGGTGGCGCACGCCTTTAATCCCAGCACTCGGGAGGCAGAGGCAGGCAGATTTCTGTGAGTTTGAGGCCAGGCTGGGCTACCAAGTGAGCTCCAGGAAAGGCACAAAGCTACGCAGAGAAACCCTGTCTCGAAAAAACCAAAAAAAAAAAAAAAAAAAAGGAAAAGCTCTGTATTACATACAAGTATGAAACTGTGCAAAAGAGACATATAAAATGCAATTTTGAAAAAAATAAGACTTTAGATTGTATTCTATAAGATTGAGGATATTTATAGTCTAGACTAGAATAGAGACAATTTGGATTAACACACTTGAGGGTGTATAAAATGTTTGCCATGAGCCATTTCATGATTGTTCCCTGATGCTTGACCTGCAGAAGCTCTACTTACCATTAATTCTAATGGTACTCTTTTATGTACACAGTTTGTAGTTTCTTCTCATTGGTGATATAGCCCATGGGCATCAGTAAAAGTATCTGATGTCCATGCACCAGGTAATTAGTTAGTGAATATAGAGATATTGTTTAGTCCAAATTTTGGTTTATATTAATGGCTTAGAAGATGGTATTCATCTGAATCATCTACCACATTCTTTCTCTAAATATTCAGGAAAATCTCTTTAATTCTACCATTTTCTTTTATGAAAATGAGTTGTACTGAACTGATGTTAAAATCGCAAGAATATCAAGATGATATAACGAGAGCCAGAGGGGAAATCCAGTCTTCTTCCCTTGTTAAAAGAGAAAAAAAAAATAGAAGTTTTTTTTTTTAAATTTGAAGATCCTAAAAATTATTCTTTTAACTTCTAACATGTCCATCAAGGTCATGTCATCTCTGAATTATACTGCTGTTCATTTGCAAAGTGTAAAGATAACATCAGTCCAAAAAATAATATAGTGAGTCAAGGGCAGAGAGTGGGACAGTGTCACAGGATTGGGAAAGACAGTGAAGGTCACAGAATGTCCCTGAAAGTTTCAATCATTGTTTTTGTTTTGTTTTTGTTTTTTTTTAAGAGTAGTTCCTCAATGTCAGGAAAGTAGTAAATTTCCTTTGAACTTAGACTTTCATTATTTAATTCACTGTACAGTAAACTGTTACTGTATTTTCTCCCCTTATTTCATATCTAAAGATCATGTTCTCTGAGCTGCTGAATATTGACTAATATCCCAACCCTCTTTTACTTCTCAGTAGTAGGGAAAGATCCTAATATTTCACCCCATTTTGTTCAAATTCTATTTTAGTTTTAGTTAAACAACTATGCTCAACCCCTCCTTTGAGAATGGTAGGCTATAAATCCTGGTGCTCATACTTGGGTTTGAGATCTTTCAGACTAAGAAGTAGAGGGTGACTTTTCCCTGGTGTGGAGGAAATTTGGGGAGGAGTGTGTTTCCCTAGCAAACCTTGTTAACAAGCTTTTAAATCCTTAATAGAAAACTATATATTTACCTTTCCAACTCCATTTAAACAAACGAATTCACAGAATCTGGTTGGTATGTTTTAACATATATTTCAAGTCCTTTTGATCTTGCTTTTTTTTCTTATTGAAGAGGTGGACTAATTTTATCTTTTCTTGCAGTTTACATTCACAACAGCTAATCACTTTGTATGTTGAAGCTACTATATCAGAACAGCACAGACTGAATCAATTACAAACAATGGGAATTTCTTTCTCACAGCTTTAGAATCTGAGAGTGCCTACATCTAATGACTATTAGAATGATTATATGGTGTTCTTTATACTGCATATTTGTCAGCACGGTAATAGAATTTGCAATGTGTATTCTTGATGGTCCACTCAAACCATCTTCATGTTCAGTCCACCTCAGTGGAGGTTATGATGCAATATAAGAATTGCATTTGGTGTCCAGATATCTACTAGATTATAGAACTTGTGTGATAGAATAATTCTACCTGATGAATATTTTTCCTAGCAACATTGTTATTAAAGGCATATGGGGTTTAGAGATACACTGTGCCATCTGACTACTAATATAGCTGAAAAATGACAGCCTTGTCTAAAACCATAAAGAAAATATAAAAGTAATTAAATTGTCACTATGTAGCAACTGAAGGAGGGTCATATTATTTTGTGGAGAAATACACATCAATGTATTTATACATTTTAAATTCCTAACCATAAATTTGTATAACACATCTTAGCACTATAGAAATCTCAAACATTTCATTTATTTCAATAGATTAAACAGTACTTCTATATGACATGGCTATAATTCTCAGGAGAATATAAATATCTTGCCTCATGGAACTATGCATATTCATTTTTATTGTTCCACTTTTCACAGTAACAAGAAAAGATAATCAGTCTGGCTGTCCATTCATAAATGATTGGTTAATGAAATTATGATGCATGTGTACAGTATACTGGAATTCAGTTGTAAAGAAAATTGAATTTGAGTTCTATGGCACTTTGAATGTAATTGCCCCACAAAGGCACTATTTGGAAGTACGGCATTGTTGGAGGTAATGGGTCACAGTTCTCTTCCTGCTCCTGAGGTTCAAGGAGTGGAACTCTTAACTCCTCCTCCATCACCTTGTCTACCTTCATGCCACCCACCGTGATGATAATGGTCTAAACCTCTGAAACTGTAAGACAGACTAATTAAATATTTTTTCTTCATAAGAGTTGTCCTTGTCAAGGTGTCTCTTCCCAGAAATAGAACCACTAACTAAGACAGGGACTTTGTATGAAAAAAAAAATGGTATTGAAAAATATTATGTGATGTGATATAAATGAGACTCAGAAAAACAAACACTGAATATCCCTTTTCAAATGTAGATTTTAGCCTCTATCTTTTCTGTATATGTATATAAAACAAAGAGAGTGAATATGGAGGAAATAAAAGTAAGAAGCAGGGGAGATTCTTTAATGGACATGGGGGAAGAGTAACACCTGTGTTATTAAAGTTCAAGAGAAGACACCAAGTATAGAAACATTGGAAGTGTGGAAGGGTAGAGTTGAGAGTAAACCAAAATCACCAGTGTATGAAAAGCTCACAGTGAAATCTGATACTTGGTAAGCTAAAAAAAAAAAAATTCAAAAAAAGGAAATTAAAACAAACAAAAAAATGACTACAAGTACTCAGTGTAGGTGGATAATTTTTTTCCTGTAACAGTGGGTTATTAAATAAAAATTGTAGAAAATCAATTCCCATATGAGTTGTCTGCCAGAGGAATCCCTAAGATCCCCACACAACACAATTGTTTCCTCATTCGGGTTAACCACTAGACGTAGTTATTAATATACCACTGTTGAAAATGTCACACAGGATGCCAGCGGGAAGAAAATCAAGCTTGGCCTGGGATAGAACCTTCTGTCCTGGTTCTTAGCACTGGCAAGGCTGGAAGATGCTCTGCAGATACCTCCTGTGGATGAAATGGCATGGAAGTCTCCCATGTGAAGCCTTTGTGCAATGCTGTAAATTATCAAGCAAGATCAGCCCCCCTGGAAGCCTAAGGACAAGTCTCTCATATGGGTAATAGTAATCATAGTAAGGGTAAGCAACCCCTTTCTGATTATGTTTGATGCTTGTTCCACACGGGAGAATTCATATTTGGCATCATAACACAGGGAGGACACAAACCCCAGTGGAGAAGATTGTAGCATTATTTTTCTAAATTGATATGATGGGCTGTTCAATAATCTTCCAATAGCTTATCATGCCTATAAAATAGTGTTGCCATTGGCTTTAATAAGAGAATCTTCTATTTTCGGTGGTCAGCTGTGACTGCAGAGAATCAGACTTGTCAAAATACGGAAAATAAATGGAATATTTATAACATGCCCTCCAGGGCCCAAGGAGCCTGATCAAGACTTTTTCCTAGAAGAGCCTGGAAGAGAATGGAGCAGTGTCTGACACTGACTTCTACACATGCCAACTACTACACTTCAGAACTCATGTGAGACTGAGATTATCTGCACAACATCTCTACAAGGTTAATCCCTGTATATCCTGTCACGGATGGCAGATGGGCTGCTGATGTTTTATTGGTGTGTGTGTGTGTGTGTGTGTGTGTGTGTGTGTGTGTGTGTGTGTTATGGTTTCTTCAGTGGTATAGCAGCTACAGGGAACATAAAGATAGTCTTGAAAACAAAGGTCAAGCTGACACTCCTGTAAACAGTCCTGATGAAACTCATTAAATCCTGCATGTGCTTGCATGTGCACGCACGCACGCATGCACACACACACACACACACACACACAGACAGAGACAGAGAGAGACAGAGAAAGAGAGAGAAAGACAGAGACAAAGACAGAGACAGAGAGGACTTAAAAATTAAAAAGAAAGTTGGAAAGGCAAAGGAGATTCACAAGACAGCAAGGGAGATACAGGGAGTGGGGTGACTGTTATGTAAACATGCTATGTACGTGTATGAAAATAACATAATGATACCCATTATAATGTAGAATTAATTTATTCTCATAAATGAAATATTGAAACACAGTTTTTGAGACCTGTGTTTGTGATTTGATTTCGTTGGTTAACAGGGTCTCACTACATAGCTTGCTTGGCCCTAATCACAGGTCCTTCCTGATTCCGTCTCCATTCTGCTGTTAAATGTATTTGCCACCACACCTAGCACTTATCACTAGTACCCAGAAGATGAGAATATATGCTAATGAGGCTCACTCGGCTTCTCTCAACAACATTTTATGAAATGAATTAGTTACTTAGAAGAATGCCCACCCCCTGACTCTCCATTGTCTGAACGGCTCTGCAGCTAGATTATTATGATTGAACACATTTGGAAGCGAATATCAATGACACCTCAAAAGCAGAACACTCTAAGAAGACTCTTCAGGGACATAACAACTAGAGTAAAATTTTCTCTCCCATTTTCATCTATTATCCTTTTAGAATTCTGGACTAAAACGATTATCTGAATATCAGGAAAGGAATAAAAAATTACCACTTTCCATCAGCCTTCAACTACCTGACAGTGGGTTTACTCAGTTTCATTGCATTTGGTTCTATAAAAAAATTCACAGAAGATTTTCTTTAATAAGCTTACTTCATTTTTTTTTCCTTCTATTGAAGATGAAGAAGCTACTATTCTGCTGCGGAGCCTTAGTCTTTTCCTAAAAAATTCCCAAGCCATTATGGATGTAAGTCAGAGAAACAATCCTTCTCACACAGTGGATGTAAGCTTACACAAAAATTAAGTTGTCGTGACTGACATAAGTCAGCGACCTTATCTAACAGTAAGTTTCACTAAAAATCCAAAGGGTACAATTATGCAAGAAGCAATGTAATGGCAAAAGAGGCTGGACATGCTGCCTGTCTCCTCTAGTAATTTGCTCTCCAATTGGACACATTTCCTCTGGCCTTGACTATAGATGAGGTCACTCACCTTACTCCACAGGGAGAAATTGTACCATGAAGCACAATTCTTAATTCCCCGATAGCTGCAAGGGGTATTTGACAACCTTCTTGGCATCAGGTCCAAAAAAAGCCAGAGATTTTAGGTGTGCTTGCAATATGCAGTCCCAACTGTGGTTATTTTGGTAAGACTAATCATTATGTAATGCTTGTCTTCTAAGAAACACCGGTTGTTTATTGACCAGAAAATCAAGATAACAATATGTTTTTAGGGAGATAAGAACAAGTTAGCAAAGTTACTTCTTCAGAAAAAAAAGCTTTCTGTAATTTTAAAAGAAATTGATCCAAGACTTCTGTGACACTGGTTTGCCTCCCAGTAGCAATAGGTTTAGGTTGCCACCATAAAATCTAAAAATTAACAGAAAGCATTGCAAGAAAAGTGAAAAATGAACTGTATTTCATGTGCCTAAGCATGAATAAATTTTTCACAGCAAAGATAAATAATATATGTTCAACAAAATATGCAATATATTGCCTTTTAAATATTTTTGAATGTCTGTGTATGTGTGTGTGTGTGTGTGTGTGTGTGTGTGTGTGTGTGTGTGTGTGCTGTAATGCATGAACGTGAACATGAAGATATCATGGCTTTTCATGGGCATGATAAGGCACAAACAAATGCCAAAAAGCGGTGGTCACTGTTTAAAGAAATAGTATTTGATTAAAAACAAACAGATGAAAAACAAATTATGCCATCTCCCCCTTCTAGAATCACAATGAATTACAATCAATTAAAAAAAGAAATACATACTTGCACATAAGCAAATGAAAGCATAGATTGTCCTGTACAATTGTTCTTGCAATAAACTAAGGAGAAAGATTACCACAATGAGAGTACTGGTAGTGTATTGATGAGTCTGCACATCGACAGTGAATACACTTTAAGAAGGTATGGTTCCACTTTTGAATTGCCTTGTGGTGACATTTAAAGTACTTCTGTTTCTTTTATGATGAATAAAAAGTAATGATATACTCATGAGAAACAATGAGTTTGAAACATCAACCTCTTCTACAGGAACATCTCTGTTGAGGGTTGAAATTTTTCAGTGACCTTGACATGACTTCAGCATACCTCTGATGTTGGTTGGATACATCCCTGTGTTCATACATTTTCTTGACAGTTGCCTTGGCATTCTGATTTCTATTATATTATTCTGTCTGTTCTCAACAGAAACAAGTATCTCTAGGCCCCAAACTCAAATGAGAGGACTAATAGTTGATGAACAAATAACTAGATGATTGTGGGAGGTCTTGTGTCATCTCAAGAGAAGCCACTTTAATGTTTCAGTTCTTTCAGTTATATTTCCAGGAATGAATGCTCTAAATTCTATATCAAGCTGCATTTCAGAAACCTCAAACTAAACTGGTACCATAGATAGAATGTGAATTAGCTATAAAGGAAATTCTGAATCATGAGTGAAAGTTAGGCTACAATAGACATACTAAATTTATATTGCAATTACTGATGAAACAAGGGAAGCAAATATACTTTATGGAAATAAGAATATAAAAATTTTAGTACCAGGAATGTTTATGAATTTGTTAACTATGATGTCCAATAATTCATTTGTGGAAATTAATCCCAATAGTGAAATAGTGAAAGCTTTGTCTAACTTATGATATTAGCCCTTTGGAACAAAATTATGAATAAAATTATTAAATCATACACTCAAACATTTGAAATATGTGATTGAAGAATTTATTTAAAGTACAGCATGAAAGAAGATACACACACACACACACACACACACACACACACACACACACACATATGCTGTTCGCATACATTGAGCTAGGTAACTGTAGAACTCATTTTTGACACTGTAATCTGAAATAAGTAATTATTCCCTTTACTACATTTATCAGTTATTTAATCACAGCTACAAAACAGAGATGACCTCACTGAATCATTATTATCTTAAACTAATGCCATTGAATGAATACAGCGCCTAAGCATTAGTAACAGTATCATATTTTAAAGAGTTTATAAAATGTAATGGGAGGCAATATTTTTGTACTTCTTATTCTCTTAATGTTAGTACATATCTTAGTATTTTAAAGGAAAATGATAGATATTTCTTTAAATGCAATGGAATAAGAAACAGAAATTGAAATATCATTATGAAGAATTTAAAATTAAGAATGCAAGGGAACAAACAAAAGTAGGACCAAGAAATATGTTTATTTGCACAATCATTGCGTAATATTTTTATCTACATTAGAAAATTAATATGTCCAGTAAGGTCATTGTGGATATACACTTGAATATACTTATTTTAGTTTGATGCTTTTATTTAATGATGAAATGCAATTCTTATCAATTTCTCCATTAATTGATTCCTTTCACTCCAAATACACATTGTGATCTCAATAGAGTATATAAAGGTGCCTCCCAAAGATCATGATCAGAATGAAAAGACTTGTTCTCATGGGTTTTTTTTGGGGGGGGGGAATTTTGTAGACATGTAGAAAGTCAAGTGAGAATATTCTTGGCTCATTGTCAATGTGTCCTCAAGAGAGATTTTGTTAATCCACCCCCACACCTTTCTTAGTAGCCTGAGATCTAAATCTGGCAACTTGCTCCAACATGCCTCTCTTCTATTGCCATCTCATGTCTTAATTAAAATCCTAACCACTGAGCATCCCAATCTTGGGTCTCCAAAGAGTTTGCTAAATGGAGCTCTGCTCCAGACCAAATGCCTGTCGTCTTTTTTCAGTTGAAGAACTCTGTTAGGAGAATAATTGTCTACTAAGCATGGGGAGTCATTTACATTAGCCTGATATGGTGACACAAAGAAGAAAAAAGGAGGAAGTAGCTCTCAGCCATTCTACTCAAACTCTTGTTCTTCTAGTGTAGTCCTTGCTAACAAAGGAGCTTTACAATGGCTGCCACTAGAGCTGCAGGGTCTCTGCTGGATGCAGTTTGCTTTAAAATGTAAAGTCTTATAAGTTGTTTTGAATACTTGAATTGTTTTCTAAAGATGGGTTACTAAATAAGCATGACTACTTTGTTCAGAGAATTTTCATTAGCCAAAACAATTGTCCATGGCATGGATGTTATGATTAATTTTTGTTTCTATTTATCTGACCCATATACTTGCTCCAATATAATAACCATGTCAACTTGAGGAGGTGAATAGCATTTAAATAATTTGACTCATTGACGAATTGCAATTCTTAATTTCAATAATATTCATTAAAGTAAGTATCTAAATAATACAAAATGCCTCATCCTCTTATGAAGAAGGAACTCCTACTGATTCACTGCTGGGACTGAGGAATTTGTTTATTAAGCTGAAACATTAATTGTTTTTGAGTTTTAAGAAGCTACCTCAACTGTTATCTTCTAGATTGGCATGTACAGATCATTTGTCTTTTCTGCTTCTAGGATGACATAGACATTGGTGGGTGATATCTTGTCACTTTGGTGACAGAGGAAAAGCATTTTCTCCAAAGACAAATCCATGATAAGTTATCCACTCCAAAGTTGTCAGCCATGTACATACGTGGGAGCAACAGTGAGTATACCCTGTAGTTTAAATTTATTTCTATCCATCTGTGTGTGTCTATATATCTGTCTGTCTGTCCGTCAAACCATCCTTCTATCTGTCCATCCATTCATCTATCAATCAATCAAACTTTCTATCTATCTGTCTCTCTGTCTGTCTATCTATCTATCATCTGTCTATCTATCTGTACCTGTTTATCATATATCCACATACTTATCATCTATCTATATCAATATACTCATGGATGTGAATAAGTCAAGATGTAAATATCTTGAATTTGAGAGGAAGCAGAGGGAACTAGGAAGAAGGAGGGTAGAAGTAAAAGGAACTGGAATGATATGAGTGCACTACTAATATGTTACATTCTCAAAAGAAAATGGCATAGAAATTTCCTAGTCTGGCTCTGGATCTGGGTCTATGCATTTTTTATTGTGCTATTTATTTGTAGAATCCTGACTAATAAATGACTTTTTTTTTTTTTTAGCAAAGGAGTCTCTAAAAATTTGGACGGCACTTTGGAATTTAGCAGTATAGTTTAGATGAGTTTAAAGTATTGGTAGACACACTAGTTTTATAAGTTATAGTGAGGAAATCTGGAAAGATTTATCTGATAAGTGGAAACAATAATTCCAACTATAATATCAATTCCTTATTCAAGATAAATAAACTATGTCACAGTCCTAGACTGTGTCCTAGGACTGTGTCCTAGTCCTAGACTTTAAAACTATGAGTGAATGACAAAATACAGCAAATACAAGAGGAAATTTCTAAGAAATACTCAACATTCAGCTTTGTGCCTCTCAATTGCTTATAAAAAAGTGAAAAGTTGAAAGAAAACTTAAAATGAAATGGAAATAAAAAATATAAATAAAAACAATTAAGAGGAGCTTTAACAATTGAGAGATTTTTAACCTGTTCCTAAAGCAAAAGTTGATAAAAAGATGTTCTGAAAGACACTGATCAGTCCGATCACCTGAGAAGGTCTTGACTTAAAAAAATTAAGGGAAAACAAAGCACATTCACTGGGTTCTGTTCCCAGCCCCTACAGAGGGAATGTGATTTTCATAAGCCAAATGGAGATTTATGATTCCAATAATGTTAAAATCTAAGTTCATTTCAACAGCAAATCTAATTTACAATGTCTATATTCTTATGTAAATGTCAAAAGTGAGACATAGGTATTATCTTTTCTGAGATGAACTCTTTTTTTTGCTTGATCTTGAGAAAACTTAAACTACAGAACATCTCATGTAAATGTATGGATGAGCCATGGATCAAAATGGTTATTTTTTTTAATTTTCAAATTTATTTATTTTTAATTTATATATAGTCTGTGTGAGGGTGCTGGATCCTACAGTTACAGACAGTTGTGAGCTGTCATGCGGGTATTGAGAGTTGAACCTGGGATCCCTAGAAGAGCAGTCAGTTCTCTTAAGTGCTGAGCTATCTCTCCAGCCCTTAAATGTTTATTTTTATTATTTAGTGGCTGTGTGTGATTGTGAGGTCTGGAATGGGGGTGTTTGAGAAGGACAGAAAGCAGTTTCTATTTGCCCAATGCTGGAATTAGAGCAAGTTGTAAAACACCAAATATGGATGCTGAGAAATGATATCTAGTCCTCTGAAAGAACATGTATTGATCTTAGTCATTGAGCTTTCTCTCCATCTCCCAATATTCCTACTTTTAAATAGAAAAATTACAAAGAAGCAGCTATAATAGAAGAATCTCTCTCTCCCTCCTTCCATCCATCCATCCATCCACCCACCCACCCACCCATCCATCCATCCATCCAGTCAGCCGTTTATACAGCCATCTATTCTTTTACTTTTCACCATCTTTCTCTCTCTGAGCACACTGAGGAAAGGCCTTATGAAGTAATACTAAAATGTTGACAATATTAACATAATAGAACTGAAGAAAACAAGAAGAGTGTCATCTCTGGAAATCAAATAATTTCACACCTAGAATGAGAGAGAGAGAGAAAAAAAAGTGTCTTTCTAGGTCATACAATCTATATCTTCTTGTTATGGAGAGTCAAGCAAATTTTGATGGTAGTTTTCACAGTGATGTGAAATTTCTCTCCAGGAATCCATGAAAGAGTGAGTCTGCCTAAGTGCATTATTACAGCAACACTAAGGATGTAAGAGGTATCTCAGACACACTAGTCAGCTCAGTGGTAATTTAAACTGTCCTGACTGCTGCCAGAAATTTCTACTTAGAGGAGGTGCTGACATTAACATAAGCTGTCACTGTCGGTTTCACCAGCTGCCAGGAAACTCTTGTCACTAGCTAGGTCTGACAGTTGATGGAGACTGATGGCTGGCCTAGCCACTGAGGGTCTGCAACAGGAACCATTTCTGTCAAGTATGTGTGCCTGAAATGTCAAGAAGGGTCTTGACAACACTGTGGATCCTGCAACTTCCCTTCTGCAGAAAATGTGATGGGAAGGTGAAGTTAATAATATCCTTTCATGTGATAAAAACGGAAGGACTAGAGAATCTTTAAGTTGGAAAAGTTAACATTTTGGAAAGGTGGTAAGTCCATTCAAATATCTGAAGCACTCCATCACAGTGAAGGTATTAACTCTGGTAGTTTCCCAGGGGATATAACTAGAATATATGGGGGAAAGCCATGGAAAACAAATAATAGCTCAGCATAATATATTTTCTAACAAAAGCTGTCCAAATCCTGAAAGGTTTTTTTTTAACTTGTTATGTTGAAATCATTTTAGACTTGCAGGAAAATGTCAAATATACTGCAAAGAATTCTGAACATTCTTTCTGTAGGATGACAAAACCAAGTATTTTACATCACTACAGTGCAATGATAAAACAAAAATACTATCAAAAATTGGATAGACTTCTACCTCTGAAAAAAATTTTTTTACTAGATTAAGTACACTACATGGAGTTCATTTTTCTGATCCAGTATTGCTTTATCATTAGCATTTTTATGTTTTAATACTAAATCCTCACTTTTTTTACTGTGTACATGGACCAATACATTTTTGTGTTAGATATAAGTTTTGTATATTATAGAATATAATTTGCAATAATAATTGCAAATGCACCAATTAAATTGCAACTGCTTACTGATAAACTAAGTTTAAGATTCACTTGAATAGCTCTTACTAGAATTTTGAGTGATTGCCATTCTAAATGAGTGCAAAAATGTCATACAATACTGGGATGCTCTGTTTTGAATGAGAAGTTGGTGGTTAAGAGAGTAATAATGAAGAAGTATTCGTGCTCAAATACTTACAGATGGTAAACTGACATTTTCTGTCCTGAGTGCCTAGTCCCAAATAACTGACTCAGAGGCTGAATATGAATTATAAATGCTTGGCCAGTAACTCAGGCTTGATATAGCTAACTCTTACATTTAAATTAACCCATATTTTTGTTTATGCTTTGTCATGTGGTGCTATCTTTCTTAGCATGGCACATTCATCCCCTGCTCCATCTCTATCTGGCTGGTGACTCCTGATTCTACCCTTCTCTTTCCCACCACCCTTAGTTTAATTACCCCATTTATACTTCTTGCCTGGCTACTGGCCAATCAGCATTTTATTAAACCAATTCCAGTGAGAAATCTTTGCAGTATGCAAGAGGATTATTCCACAGCATTTCCCCCTCTTTGTCTAACTAAAAAAGGAAGGTTTTAACTTTAATGCAGTATGATTATAATCAACAAAAACAGATATCAAGTAAGAATTACAGTTACAATACGCAGTCTGTTTGTATTTGACAAAATCAGAGAAAACATTTAATTATCCATTTTATCTTGGCGAGTCTTAAGTTTCATATTTAATTTAACTTTTATCATAACTAAGTAACTATATAACTATCTAGTCTTCAACTTCATCAAAGACCTGAAGAAGGTTAAATGTTAGCTAATGACAGGGATATTGTGCTGCATGGAGAGTCACCCAAAGTTCCTCTGTGATGTTGGGGAATCCACCTTTGATCCACAGGCCTAGAATATCTGAAAGATCTTCCTGTGAAGCATGGAATTCTGAAGGACTGTCCTACCTTGTCTTGGCCAAGTTCAGTGGTCACATTTTTTGTGTCCTCCTCATCCAGTTTGGACAGTAACTGTTAGCAACTGAGGCAAGGGCAGTTTCTTTGTCCACATGTTTAGCTTTGTCACAAAGAAAACAAACTCCATAAGGAGCTTTTTTGATGCCCATCATCTTTGTTGAAGTAGACTGATACTGCAAGGATCAGACATATCTCACTATCATGAAAAGACTTAGGTTATTATACCTTTTAAATGCCATATTCTGTAGATCTTTGAAGTGCTTGAAGTTTACCAATATTTTTGAAAAATATCTCTGTATGACCTTGAAAACCTAACTAACCTGACTATATGTTTGATAGTTATGGGTGACTATAGCCTACATTTCTTAATTATACATTTTCAAATGAGCTACATAAACACAAAAACTTGAGTAAAAATACATATAATGTAACAAAATTAACTTTAAATTTGTATCAATCATCTAAAATTCATACTAATGTAAAATATTTTGAAAATAAAAATTATTTATTGGATTAAAGTAGATTCAATTATCTATTATTTTTCTTCTTTCCTATATCAACAGACACATGAGCAGTCCCCAAAATAAGACTTTAGTATTAATTTCACACATCTTGATGGGTAGAATTTTTTTATATTTTCAATTAACAAACTAACTATGTTAACTCTACCTGTCATATGAATTTGGGTGATAGAAAGAGGTGAAGAAGTTTATATCATGCTTATGACTTATTTAAAAAAAAAACTTTATCCATTAGCTATTGTCCTCTAACTTTTCTGATGGGAATTTTCTGTCTCTTTGTTACTAACTGTGCATTCTCAGTATCTTTCATATTCAGTTTCATATAATATAAGTAAATGGGGATCATTTTCTTATAATGATCATTCAGTAGTCATTTGCTGTTTAAGTCAAAAAATAATCTGAGGAATCTTCATTGTTATTTTTCTGTCTTTTCTTTTTGGAATTGTAAAAAAGTTTATATGATTGCTAAAGAACACAGAAACTGGGATGAAGAGATGGCTCAGGGCTTGAGAATGCATAATACTCTTACAGAGAACCCAAGTTTGCTTCTTAGAACTTATTTCAGGAAGTTCATATCCACCTATAATTCTACTCTCAGACTTAACCCATTCTTCTTGCCCCTGTGAATACTTGTGCTTACATACACATATCTATTCACAGGCACAAATCACATACAAAAATATTTTCTTTAAATCTAAAAAATAGAAGGACCACCAATGAACTCAGAAAACATCGAAGAATATGGTATTTATAAAATATGTATCCAAAATGCTGGTGCTCACTAAATCACAAATGTTGAGGTTGTGATGTATAGTTCCCCATTTTCTTTTTCCTCAACATACCTTACAAATTCATTTTATAACAAAAGCTTAATTTAATTACATGAAATAAAAATGCTAGATTCATAATTTATGATACTTATTTCCCCTGCAATATTTACTATTTATAGTATTTTTAAAAAAAAAAAACTAGTAAATTATTTCATAAAGTTTCTCATTTTCAATTCCTCTTTTGCTTCATTTTATTTTCAATATAAAGTATATGTGTCATATGCTAGCATACTGCACAGCTGCTGTAAGAATGAGACACTTTGGAACCCTCAGTCTTAAATTGAATATCTTTAATAACTCCTCACCCAAGGCCTCAAGGATTTATGCCAAAGAAGAGGTAGAAAAATTATAAAAGATAGAAGTAGTTGATGACACCATGGAAATAGTGTCTTCCAGACACAAGAGGAGATATATATATATATCTGAATTCACACACACACACACACACACACACACACACACACACACACACATATTCACATATTCACATGGACTGTGACAGCATTCACATGACATGTGCAGGTTCAAAACAAAATTGTAGACCTGACAAGAGGAAGTGGACACAAGTTCTCACCTCAAAACAAGAATCCATTTGCAATTGATATCTGATAGGAAAGAAACTATCAGTTTTCTACAAAGTAGTTTCACTGGATGTATTTGTCATACTTCAGGGCATATTCCAATGCCATGAATATTTGGCCACCACAAAACAGACTTCATTTTTCAAAATGTTGTGTGATTTTAGCATCATTTTGCTACTATTTTTAGCTTACTGATTTTTTTTTGCTTTTTTGGTTTAGTTTTTTTTAGACTTAATGTGTGTGTTTTGATTCTCATTTTTTGTTGTTTTGCTTGTTGTTATTTGTCTCATTCCTCTTCCTCTTCTTCTTCTTCTTCTTCTTCTTCTTCTTCTTCTTCTTCTTCAGAAAAGAGAAATATTGGGTGTATATATGAAGGTGGTTGGGATAATGATGAGTTCAGAGAGGGTAAAAAATAAAGAACATGTTCAAACTACATTATTATATGAAAAAATACTTTTAAAGTAATTGAGTGAATGTGTGTGGGGAGTTATGAACAGGTGAATACAGGTGTCTGTGGAGGTCAGAGACATCAGACCAATAAGACTGTTGTGTCTGGTGATTGTGAAAAGCCTAACATGGTTATGGTTATAATGGCTAGGAGAAGAATTCAGGTCCTCTTAAGGAACAGGACTCACTTTTAACTGCTGATCCACCTCTTGAGCACCTCTTCCTTCTCTCTTGCAAGGTCACAATATCTGCATCATCAATCTAAGTAAGGAAACATCAAGATATACTTGAAACGCCATGCAAAATTCAGAGCCAATGGAATTCCCTGATCTAATCTGTGTCAAGCAGTGTTCCCTGTAATTGTTAGCCAGTGAGCAAGTGTGTATCTTTTTCTTAAGAGTTTCCATTAAAAAAGCACAATATGTGTAGCAGATACATAGAATGAACTCAGGGTCATCTCTGAAGGCACTGCAGACAACACAGTTTTATAATATTATTTCCATTTTACTTTTTTATTTTATAATGTAATTTAATTTTACATGTCAGCCATAGATTCCCTTGTTCTCCCCCCTTCCGCCCCCCTGCCTTCCCTCCAGTCCACCCCCCATTCCCATCTCCTCTATGGCAAAGACTCCCCTGAGGATTGAGTTCAACCTGGTAGATTCAGTCTAGGCAGGTCCAGTCCCCTCCTCCCAGGCTGAGCCAAGTGTCCCTGTATAAGCCCCAGGTTCCAAACAGTCAGCACATGCACTGAGTTGATTAGCTTGATCTGTTTGGGAGGCATCCAGGCAGTGGGACTGGGACCTGCCCATTTTACTTTTATAGCATAGGATTAACAAGAAGCATGTTTAATTTTATAACTTGAATTTTATAAAGAAAATTATCCTTGAATAATGAATCCAGATTACAATTGGAACTCAGTGTTCCATGAAAATATGCCTGTAGCCATTAGTCACCTAAAATTGGTATAACAGTTTTAACTAAATTTCAATTTTTGAGGCTAGGCTTGTATTAATGCATAGAGAATAGAGATGAGAGAAATACAAGGGATCAGATGCTACTTTAAAACTGCATTTTACACAGTGGATTAGTCCTTGCTTTGTTTCTAAGGATATATATGGGTGAACAGTGGGTAGAACTCCCTAAATTGCTTATAATTAAAAATAGTAAACCTCAAATCTAAAAAGTAGTCTTTTTTTTTTTTTTTGTTAAAGATTTATTTATTATGTATACAGTGTTTGCCTACATGCCAGAAGAGGGCACCAGATCTCATTACAGATGGTTGTGAGCCACCATGTGGGTGCTGGGAATTGAACTCAGGTCCTCTGGAAGAACAGCCAGTGCTCTTAACCTCTGAGCCATCTCTCCAGCCCCCTAAAAAGTAGTCTTTTGATAGGAAGAAAATAAATTCTAAAGTAAGGGCTCTCTGCTTCCTGATGGCAGACCCAATGGGACAAAATGCCTCATACTCCTGTTGCCATGGTTTCCTTTCCATGATGGATGGTATTCCTTCTTAAGAAAACTGAGCCAGATACAGGCCTGGCGGCAGCCCACAGAGGTAGACAGGCATGGCAGCAGTGACAAGCAGAGGCACGTAGGCCCGTGGAGGCAGCCGGCAGAGACATACAGGCTTGGCAGCGGCCCATAGAGGTAGATGGGCCCGGCGGTGGCCGACAGGGTCATACAGGCCCAGCGGCAGCCTGCCGAGACATAGAGGCCCAGCGGCGGTCACAGAGGTAGACAGGCACCGCAGCAGCGACAAGCAGAGGCAGGTAGGCCCGAGGCGGCAGCTGGCAGAGATACACAGGCCCGAGGGCAACCCATAGAGGTAGACTGACCTGGCAGAGGCAGGCAGGCCCAGAGTGGAGGCAGGCAGGCACAGCAGGTGACAGCCAAAATACAGTCACGATAAAGACCAGAAACAGAGCTATTACCCTCTGAAGAGCTAGTTTTCACAAACTCTTAATCAAAATCTGGGAACAGGGACGCCTCTAACCCCAACACCCAGGGAAGAAGCTATCTCCATGGGACAGAACCAGAACGAATCTGAACACTCCATCTGAGGACAACC